TTCTCCGTTTTTGTCTAGACTTACTTCTTTCTTCCCTCTCCATTTCTGATACACTGTCTTGATGCTCCCTAAACAATTTTTGTCCCTCCCGCACCTTATCATTGCAGCGCTTATCCTCCAAACAGGCTCTAATCATCTTCCACACTGGTAAAACCCCTGGTCTTAAGGTATTCTTATCTTTCTCTCGCTGAAGGTCTTTTCCTAATTTTTTCCTGGATGGGATCGTGAGTGACCCGGTACCGCTGAACCAGGGCGCCGCTCGATCCACTTCCTTTAAAAACCTCCTTAAAATTTGCTCCGATATTTTTAACTCCCTTTCCTTCAAAAGGCTTTGTAAAGCATAGACCAGTGATTGCGAAGTTGAATTTCCCATTTCTCCCCTATCTACGAAAGTGGGCGACCGACAAGATTAAACCTGTTGGAGTAAACAAATTAAAACACCCGCCCACACCAGACAGCGTACCTCTCGGAAAGTTGGTGGATCCTCCCCTCCTGCTGCTCAGTTCTGAATCCTCCTGAAGTCAGGGGTCTCCGCTGATGCCGGCGATGATGGTCGTCGCTTCCCGGGTTTCGGCACCACTTGTCACGCGCACCTTGCCAGCAAGGAGCACGCAACACTCAGGATTCTTCTGAAGCACGCTTTATTGGAGGTTCTTCTGCATTCTTCAAGATGGCGGAAAGACCCCGAGCCGGACGCGAGCCTGCCTTTTATAGCCTCTCGGGTGACGTAGCCCATTTCTATTGGCCAATGCCGGCCTGCGTCATTCTGACGAGCCAAGCGCCCCTTCTGCGCATGCGTGAACCGCCATCACCGGCGGACTCGCATCCGGGATTCATGCAGGGCATGAAGAACCCGGAAATAATGGCGCGCGACACATGTGAATTAAATTAAAATCAAGGAGCAGCCCAAAATATGTTTGCAATGAATAAACTCTTTAATATAGCATCTTTACCATTTAAAATGGGGGCTTAGGCAGAGTTTGGACAAGAGGAGTAGACAAGTAAAAGAATTGGAGAAGGTTTCAAGTGAAGCCAGAGTACATAGGATGAGCATACAAACTTTAGGAAACTGTTGAAGTCAAAGGGGAAAGACAGAGTGCAAGAATAAGGACAAGAATATAACAACTAACAGTAATAGGGGCTCACTTTCCTTTGAAACTATTGACCCTTGAGTGAATGAAAATGAGAGAAGACAGAACATAAAGAAAGAAGAAAAAATGATAAAAGAAGAAATCTGAGTTAGGGCAGGGACAGGAACAGAAAGGGAGATGAGGAATAATATGGTGGAGCAAGAGACTGAGTTGGAAAAAGAGGACAGAAAAAAGAAAAAAAATTGCAGAGTGGAATGAGGAAAAGAAAGTAGAAAAAGAATTTGAGGGGCCTCTTTCAGACTATATCTCTGCTGTGATAATACACAATGTGCACAGACATGCAAAGAACTAAGTCTTTTGATCTCAGCTAGTCAGTGGCAGACCCCTGAGATTCAGATTGATTTTGGGCTGCAAGGCCCAAACTGAGCTCCCTGACCTCCTGCAGGGTTGAACTCCACAAAATTCTACTACAGGTTTCCTCTGCTCTTTCTTTGAAGATATTCAAAGTCTGGAGCTCAGAAAAATGTCCTTTATGACCACCTGTGCCTCTGCAGAGTGGATCCAAGGACTGGCACAATCAGGGGGCCTGAGAGCAAGGGGGGGTTGTTGCAGAGGCACCCATGTGGCTACCCAGTCCTTACCTGTTGGCCCCAGGCAGGCTGGAATGAGAGCAGCATCCCTGAGTAGCTGTCCTAAACCTCTGACTTCCACCTTCAGCTGGATGCTGGTTGTGGCGCAGACAGGGTGAGGGTGTGGCTTCCCTGTAGTTCTTGAGGACCCCTTCTTTCCACTCCCTTGCCCTCTCTATGCAAACACAGACCAAGTTATCTATTCTTTACACAGCCTTCTGCTTCCACTACAACTGTCTCAGGCTGGGGCTACATATCCTTTGCTTTCACTTTTGATGCCTCCTGAAAGACCACTCTCATACCTACCATATCTAACCTCTTCCTCTATTGTCCCAATTATTAACAAATACAGGCCAGATTTCTCTGAGTGACACTGGTTTCCAAACTGCCAATCTGATGATTTCTGCTTCTCTTATGCATCAGCACATGATCCACCCAAAGTGACCTTCTTGCTCTTCCTGTTTATGCGTTAACTCATGTTGTTTCCCATACTTAGGATAATGCTATACTCACACATCAAAGTCCTACCTATCCTCAGGGACAATTTTCACGTCCATCTTGTGAGTTGACATCCCCTTTCTGCCTTATCTTTCCTTCACTCAATTCTCTATCTCTCTGTTGTTGTTGATGGAATGTTCCTCATCTCAGAACTTTCGTAAGATTTTATCTTTACCTTTTTATGTCTCTTATATTTACCCTATATATTTATTTTCCTGCCTAGCTCTTAATTCCCACACTATAAATTTTTAGTTAATAAAGTACAGCTGATTTACTTTCATATCTCCATAATGCTGAGCACAGTGAATATAGACACTCAAAAATACTTATTTAATGATTGAAGGAATAAATGGGAAACTTTATAGCATTTATCTTCCATGAGCTCATCATCTAGTGGAGACCATACACAGAAACACATGCCTGTGAGTGTACTTACACACACATACACTTATGTAAGCTATAATGCTAGGCTGATGTGAAAAAGTAAAAAATAAATATGTACAAGTATCTTGTTAAGCAAATGTAGGAAAATGAAGATTCAATTCTGACTGGGAATTTGAGGGGGAGCAGGCTTCTAAGAGAGGATAGAATTTCAGTTGAATTTGAAGGAAGGATAGAAAGTATAAGTATATGATTCTAAACAAAGACAGTTTAGGTTGAGCCAGTACTTTAAGGCAAGACCTAGAGGCAGGTGAAATTAGGGCTATGTGAAACAGAGTCCAGTCTGGCCTCATTAGATGTGTGATCCATGAACTTATCTAACTCTTTTACTATGTGAAAGAATTACAAGTAAATTTCCCAAGATGGGATTTTTCTTTTCAGTGTAGTTTAAGTTGACTCAAGGTGACAGATCCATTTTCTTAATATTATGTGGAGACAACTCTATCATTTAATAATAGTTATTTTGTGAACTATAGACCTCTTCTCTTACTGATTGTAATTGATGGTTACTAAAAAGTGTCTGAAAAAATGTGCTCCTTTCAACAATTTTATAACTCAACATTTTGTTTTATCATAGTAGAGTATACTGCAAATCTAACTTTATGTGTATCAGCATTTTTCAGTGGTGCACTGCCTATATAGAGGGAGTTAATTCATTTAAGTGTTATGATAGACCATGCAAACCGACAAACATGGAAAGTTGAGTGGTGTAATGCCCTGCGCATAAAAAAGGGTACTCAGTACATACTGGCTAAATTGAACTCATATATTGGCCATATGAGTCACCCATTAGAATGGCTGTGATCTCTCTCTCTCTTTCTCTCTCTCTCTCAATTATAGTTTTGGGTTCCATGAAACACTCCATTATATTTACAAACAAATCCTCCGTTTGATATATTTAAGCTTTTATGGATTTTTTTTCTTTTCTACCCAAAGATTTGGAACAAATGTAATCCATTGCAGCTTTTTTTCATGTATAATTATCCTTAACTAATTTTTTTCTATATATCACTTTAAAATTTTAAATTAAGATTTCTCCTACAGTCTTCATTTCCAATTTGTGACAGGCATCAAAACCATTGTCTAGAGACTGAATCTATGCCAGTCATGGTGGTGCACACCTGAAGTCTTAGTTGCTTTAGAAGTTAGGTGAGAGGGTCACTTTGAATCCTCGATTGGAGGAACAGCTTGGGCTTCATAGATCCTGTCTCAAGAGAAAAGATGGAAAGATTGAAAGTTGTTATTCTATGATCAAAATATGAGAAGGTACAGTCCTTTATTCCAAGTGACAGAGGAGACTTTCAAATGGAATTCTGCCCCAAACTTGTCTGATTACCTCAGGGTCTCTGACATTTCTTCTAGGAATAAATCAGAAGCTTTAGTATGTTGGTTCCACTGGGGCGGGGGGCAAAATAAAAAATGTAACCCTGAAACAACCACACTTTGATTGTATGCTTGTGGTTCCCGATGGATAGATATTCATTCCTCTCATAAAACTAGACCTCTGAGTTGATGCGAAATTGGGTTACATCAAAATCATTTCACAAGGATTCTGAATTTGGGGTCTACAGAGTTGAAATGCACCCTGTTTATTGGCAGAAACCATCAGAAGAAAAATTCAGGTGCAGTATGCTTCCATATTCTCTGCATAATCAAGAAGGATGTAAGATAAAATGGGCTTGATTTCCAGAGCAAACAGAGAAAAACCATGGAAGAAAGTGGCCTCTGAACACCAGTGCCACAGGTGATGCTCGGCCTAATGATACTTTCAAGCTTCTCCATGGAGTTCTACTTGTCTGTGCATTTCCCTTTCTGCTCTAGCTTGTGAGAGTGCGTGTTTTTCACTTATGACCCACCTACTATAGGGTCTGACTTATTATGCAGTCAGAACTAGAACTAGTTGTGTTCTCTGGTAAAGACTGGCCTTTCACTAGAGCATAAAGACTAAATGAAAACTAGTGGTGGTGCTCACAATCAGCTGTAAAGAGGCAAATGAAGACATATTACCAGGCCTAATGGCAACCAGATTCAGTGATTCAGATGGTAGTCACTTGGAAGAAGCCCCTGGGCAGGAAGGAGGGCTTATCTTTGAATGCCAATGTCTTATCCAAGTGTGGGGAGGGCACTTGGAGGTTCTGAACCAGTTCCAATGCAGCACCTTCCTTACAAGAGTGCATAAAAGAGCAAGACTGAAAAACTAAATGTAGTTTATGGCTTGAGACAAATACAGTGTAATAGGAATGAGCGATGAGTCATTCTTCTCTTCCCCGGTGCATTCAGGCTGCTATAAAAAGTTCCATCAACTGGGTGGTTCATAAACAAAAGAAATTTGTTTCTTATGTACTTGAGCCTGGGAAATTCAAGAGCAAAGCACTGGCATTCAGTTTCTGTGAGGTTCCACTTCCTAGCTCACAGATGTCCATCTTCCTACATTGGCTTCATTTGTCAGAAGGGGATGAGAGGGCAGCCTGATTTGTCTCTTTTTTGTGGGCAGAAGCTCACTCCTGAGGTCACCATTCTCATGATCTAATTAGCTTCCAAAAGGCCACCTTCTATGACCATCACACTGGGAATTAGGCTTTCAAAATGTGAATTTTGAGGAACACACATATTTAGTTAATAGCACCAGGGAAGTGGATGTACACCACCAACTCTCTTTAGACTCATGCGGCCTCAAACACCATATAAGCAAATATGCAGCTGCAGAACAGCCAAGTAAAGCTCTGCCACTTTTGTGACATAACTGAATTCTCCCACAGAACATTACTATTTCAGAATATGTTGACATGAAGGAAAAAAATTCAGACAATAACATCCTAAACCAAAATATTAAAATCATATACTCCAAAATAAATGTTTGGCCCTAGTTTTTCTCTGAGAAGTTCGACTACTAGTAATGAAAGTGTCCTTGGGACCTTCTGAATACTTGGTACTTATTGCTGGCTTCAAAGAAGGTGAAGACATCAGAGGGCAGAGTCAGGTGTGTTATATATTTTAGAAAACTAAAAAGCCACTCAGTTTCACAATCAACCAACACAGAATTATGAAACCCCTTATAATTAAGTTCTGTGGAAACTACCAGAAGCCTCTCTCCTGAAATTTCCATCTTACTTTCAGAGATGAGGCAATGAAAGGCTTTGCAGGATGATTTGCCTTAACTTTCTAAATTACTTTCCCCCAGGTCTATAAATCAATACCATTTTTCATTTTTCACTCTAGTGGGCAACCTTCTGTCTGGCTACATCCTGGGGTGGAAGACCTTTTCCCTTCCCCAGATGTGTTTGGAATGCAGTAATTCTCCCATCCTCTCTTTATCACTAATTGCCTTGTCTCTAGAGCAGGCAGTTGCAGGCCAAGTGCATGGGAGGATGTGACCATGAGGCCTTATTAAATCAGGGCCAGTCAGGTTAGAATTTGTGGCATAACTTATGTCTACATTTCTGACAGTCAACTTATTTACTCAGATTCCTGACCGTGAACTTGCTTTGTGGTCCATCCCATTAATTATGGCTATATGAAAATTCAAAACAAAAACCAAATAAACTTTTATCTGTTTGAGCCAAAGAAGCATTTGAGAACCTGACTGGTTTCCCTAGCTTGGTTTGTGTTCAAGCAGTGAAACATATAGTTTGTCTGCTTTCTCCTGTTATCCCATTGACTATTCAGGGAAGCATTACTTTCCCACATCTCTGAAAGTCTCCCTTGTAGTAAGTAACTCACTGTGGCTAAGAACACAGGAGTGTAAGATAAGTGGCCATTTAAATTCCTTACATTTGTATATGATTAGTGCACAAAGCCCTTCACATACATTATTCGTAACCACCCTGGGAGGTAGGAATGAACTTGTCAAGGGGAGCAGGCATGTTTTGTCCTGGTGGCCTAGACAGGAATTATATAAGTCATAGTCATCTTAAATTCTTTTCTAAAGGGGAACATGGCAGGGCTTAAAATATATATAAATAAATGTGAGGTGAGTTTGAAACCCATAAGCCTTCTTTCTAAAATAGGCAGCTCTACACTGTGCAGGCAATGGGATTGCATTTCTTCTTTTATTAATCACAAAGGAGGCCCATGTTCAACCAGCCAAAACCAGCTTTATTAGTGAGTATACATTCCTTGCACCTAGGTTTATAGTCTGCATTCTGAGAGTGTTTTATATTCTTCTTTCTATTTATGGTTGTTCAAAGAGATTGAACTCAAACCCAATCCTTGTGAATTCACCAAATAACCCAATTTGCTGAAGAAAAGAGTGGCTTTAGTGTTCCTGAATGGGTTGGAGAATGCCACAAGCTTTCAGGTAAGAATAAAACCTTTGTGAAAATTTGATCTCTTTCTTAGTGTCTTTCCCATCACTGGGACAAAGTACCTAACATCCACAACTTACATTTGGTTTCAGTTTCCAGTGTGTTCAGTCTCAAATCGACTGGCTCTAAGGCATAAATGGAATTGTGGAGGAGATGGCAAAGGAAAGTTGTTCATCCCCAGTGACCTGATTCTAACCAAGCCCTACCTCCTAACAGCAAGTCAGCTACAAACTCCCCAGTGGGACAATCCACTGATGAACTTAGCACCCCAACACCTAATCACCTCCAAACACATGAAAATTATGGGAGACATTTTAGATCTAAACCTTAACAATTACTTCACACCATGAAGCATGGATGAGGCTTATTGGATGTGTTTCACTGCTCTGCTGGATGTTTCCTTGGCTTCATCCAATACTGTTCACCAAAAGTAGTAAAATTGCTGTTCAGAACCCCGGAAGCATTACTTGTTCTTACCCAAAACTCATGGAAGGGACACATGATGAATAATCAGCTCTGTTGGCCCATCATAAATCTCAGTGAATAAGGAGCCACAGACCGAGTTGACACATCACCTCCGAGGACTGGGTTACAGACTCCCAACTGATTTATCTGCCCATTTCTCCTCATTATGAAGAAAGGAAATGGTTCATTTCAAGCATTTTACAGAGACATTTGGTCAGGGTGAACCTATTTCAGGGAAAAGAGACTCCTGTCTTCATTACTGCTTTCCAAAAGACATTGTTCTTCAATCTAGAAATAGCTACAGTTTTTTTCCTTAGGCCTCCATCCACAGATTGTTTTTTTCTTAGGAATAAAAACTAAAATGTGTAACTTGCTAAGCCCTTCTTTCTATAGAAGATGATTTATTATCAGTAACATGGGTGCTGGGAAGGTCAAGGCTTCCTGAGTCAAAGGGATGGCTAAGTGGGCAGTGATGAAGAGTCAGGCTGACATGGCCTGAAGTGGTACCAGCCACCTCCCAGCTGTGTGACTCCAGGTGCATAATTTAACCTCTGAGTCTCAGTCCTTCTCCTGCTACGTGGCATTAATCACAGTGCCTGTCTCTGAGGGTTAAATGAGATAACACTTGCTACACAGGCAGTGCTAAATAAGTCATTATCATCCATCAGCATTGTCCTTGTCATCTCCGTGGCATGGGCATTGCTACTAAGAACTTACTGGTAATTAGTGCACTAGAGATGGTTTATGATCGTTAGCCACATAGCTCTTCTTCGGATCCCAATTCTTCAGGACAGAGAATGGTCTCACTGGGTTGGGTTTATGCAGACTTCATTTTGAATCAAGTGTTTCCCCTTAACCTCATGTATATGTAAGTACTCTTCCCCCTGACCTGACTTCTATCAGTCTCTCCAGCCTCATCACACTCCCTACCTCAAAATTCATTCTATAAAACCATAAAATCGTCTGCACTTTCTTCTGTCCATCTTTTTTCCCTTTTCAGACACTGTCCCTGTGTCACAAATACACTTTCCAATCTTCTTCTAATAAATCCTTATTCATCTTTTAAAAATATTTGATAACTTTAGGCATAAACTCTCAGGTGGTTCTAAGTGATCCTTCTATGTGCTTTTTTAGTAATTTGTAAATTTTCTTCAAGATTGTCAAATTGTTGCATCTTCTTGAAATTATGTGCACACATGTATGCATTCCCCACCACACTGAAGGCTTCTCAAGGCCAGGTATTGCTATGCCACTGTATAGTGCAAGGAGTTGCCTCAAACAGGATTTTAAGGGTATTATTTGCTTACTGTCAGGATGGAAAGACCTATGCAAATCACTTTCTCCATGTATATGATACAGGAGATAAAAACAACTAACGTAGTTACAGATGGAGATATGTAGAAGTAGTTGTAGATATATGTATATGCATAGACTAATAAACAAGCACATGTTTTTGCCCTGTCAGTCTAGAGGGTCTAAAGAAAAAACAACCTAGTACCAATGAGCATACCTAGTCCACAGATGCTGATTTCTAGTATTGTCTTTTACTAAAAGAAATCAGGGGACTTTTGAACATTTGCTGATTATGATACAGATGGGGAAAAACATAAGATTGGCCTGGACCATCTTTTCATACCAGAAAATAAGTAAATGTTAACACACACACACAATGTGAATCTGTCAAGGGGGCACAAGAACCAAACAAAAGAGCTTCCAATGCCCTGAAGATGAAATAATTTGACCAAAATGATTTAAGAAGTATTGCTTTGTAACACAAAATATAAAATAAGTGTCCATGAGTCTATAATGGGCATTAATAAGTCATTGGCCAAATTAATAAGTGAGAGGAGAGGAGAAAAATTTCAGGAGCCCAATCGTCTATGCTGTGACTCCAAACCAAGGAGTACAATTATAAAAATCCCCATTCTTTAGAGACTTACTTCTAGAGTAGAGTACATAAAGGGAGGACAAAAAAATAAGTTCACAGTGGAGAAACCTGACACTTACCACCTCATCAGGTGAGTGTGGTTGGCATTCACAGTGCTAACTCACATTGGTAGAGTGTACTTTGGGTATCATGTGATAAAAATGGAAGGTTGGTTCTGCTGTCTTCTTCCTCAAACTTACAGCTAGTGTACTCATGAGAACAACTCAGAGGAATTTCAATAGAGGGGAATCCCACGATATGCCTGGCCCACATACTGCCAAACTGTGAAGGCCACTGGAAACTGGGAGAACTCCGAGGAGCTGTCATAGCGGAGAGATATCTAAGATCGTGACCTAAGATGACAAAGCAGTATAACACTTTCCTCGGCTAGGATCTTGGAATGAAGAACTTTTGGCAAAAGCTCTGGAAAAGCAGAATAAATCATAATCTTTAGGAAATGATAACGCCCATATTTGTTCACCGATTTTAACTAATGTCCTAGACTAATGTGAGATGGTAATCGGGGCAGCATGTGTGCAGATGTGGAAATACATGGGAACTCAACTATCTTCTCCAGTTTTCTACGAGTCCAAAACATCTCTGAAAACTAAATTCTATTAAAATAATTAAATAAAAATAAGAAAAGTAAAATCAAGATTTTCTGACTAATAGAGAAGAGCAAATATTTCTTATTATCAGGGATGCACATTTTCCTGCCATAACCGGATGGTTCAGGAAAACAAATTTAGATCACAAGTTAACTCAATAAATGCCTCTATTTTCTGCTTCGTTATGCATATGTAGACAGCTGTGGAATGCAGATACTTCACATGGAATCTTTCCTACCATAAGAATCACATATCCCACCTACAGGTCAGTTCTTTTTAAAAATTTAAATCAGTAGCTTCACGCCTTAACTTCATACCTCTCCTCTAGTCTTTGCTTTGCACAGCCTGATGTCCTGGTCAAGGGAAAGGAATATCCTAGTGTGCTCTAAGGAAATAATTAAATACTGTTGGTCAGAAGCAATCAAATGGTTACAATTCCTCCTTTGATATCTTGGGAAACAGGGAGGTGCAAGAAGAATGAGAAGCCTGCTCTCTTGGCAAGTTTAGGCAGAGAAAGGTGTTTGGTTAGTGCATGACAGCAAAGTAAGAACTGAAATGCCAGTGCTAAGAAACCCAGAATTTCTGATGAGCTGTATTCTCCTCTGTTACTGTACCTATAGCCTGTGACTGATTTCCGGGGGCGGGGGTAAGAAATGTTTTGCTTCAAGCAAGAAACTGCCCATGTTACCACTCATAAATGGGCTTGCTAAAGAAGCACAAAAGCTGCCTTGCAAACTGTCAAATGACCCCGCTCCTAGACTCATACTTAATTTCCTCTGTGTGATTCTACAGCCTGGCTCAGAGGGAGGATTATCTAAGGCCTTTTGATAAACACTTGTGAGGGAGAAAAGCAGAGGATATCGGCATGACAGGGGGTCCTAAATCAGCAAATTAATGTCCCTCCTTAGGGACAGAGATGGCCAGGAGAAGGATGGCTCTGACCTTTAGGATTTACACTGGGGGCCTGCAGAGGTGGTCCAATATGGGGTTAAAAACTGGAGGGGTGGTTGCTGGAAAATTTTAGAGAGTGGAAAATTTTAGAGTCCTGGTGGGTGCAGCGGGGTGGGGTGGGGCTGCTGGCTTCCTGTTATTGCTGTCCTGTGGATACGGGTAGCGGGTCTGGTTGGGCATAGAGTCTGGTTTAGGGATCCGTCAGTTAAGGATTTAAAATATTTTAGGGAATTACTATGTCAATTAAGAGTAAAGAAAATTAAGGATTTTGAATATTTTTAAGGGAATTACTGTCAATTAAGAGGAAAAAAATTAAAGAAAAAGAAATTAAAGAAAAAAGAAATTAAGAGAGAAAGAAAGAGAAAAAGAGAAAAGAAAGCAAGAAAAAAGGCAAAATAATCATGAGCGTGTGCACTGCCTCTCAGTAGACTAAGAAGGTGAAGTTCAGAGTAAAGTGAAAGGTGAAGTTCAAACTTAACAGCAAAATTCGGAGAGTAAGTGTAAAAACTGAGGTTTTAAACACATTTATGGAATTCCTATGTCCAGGAAACTTGAATGTGTCTGCGTTGGGTCAGTGTTGTCAATGTTGTGCAAATTAAGGAAAAACCTTTGCTAGAATGGAGTGTTTTGTTGGAAAAGATTCTCTCCGCCTATGTCATATGTTGTATGGACTGTGTATTGATTACTGTCATTTCTTGGGCAACAATTTATCTTTTGTAGAAACTTTAGGAACCCTGCCAGTGAGAAGGGAGCTTTGTTTATGTCGCTGCAGAAAATGAAGGAAGATATGGAAACAAACAAACGAACGAAGGGGAAAACCATAGTAATTTTGATAGAATTAACTTGCTTTCCCATTTAAAGCCTAAGACATATTCCTAGTTGTGCACATAACACAGCTAGGTGATTGGCTGGATGCAATTAATTTTCCCATCTTTGTAGGGAGGTCAGATCCACACATCCTGAGGTGTGACAAGCTTCGGTTACACATTCACTCATATTTTTCTTACCTATGCAGTGCCTTCAACTTTTCAAAGTAACTATGCCAATCTGGTGCCAGCCAAATTCTTCCCCTAGTATCTTCTCCCATTTTCCCCTAAGGAAAAAAAAAATCAACACTAAATTCAATGATTCTACCATTGCTTTGGAAAATCAGCACCCTACACTTCACAAGTACATAAATGGATGAGACTGCGTGGAAATGGGAATGCAGTGAGCGGTAATAGCTAAAGAGAACATGCTTTGAGCAACCCCCACTCTATAAATCGCTAGGCCCAGACAAAAATGAAATGGGCTCTTTGTGAAAATATCTTTAAAATTTGCAATGTGATGACAGCAGAACATTAAACCAGGCATACTGCATGTGATTGCCCAAGTCAGAAGCCCATGAACCCAGCTCTGGTCTGGAGTAACAAAACTGGGCTCAAATCCTGGCTCTGTCTTTTGTCCATTGTATCACTTTGGACATCTTTCTCATATACTTGGATTCAAGTATTTTTATTTGTAAAATGATAGTAACATTACTTTGCCATTGTATTAAAGAAGACAGTGGACGTAGTGCATAAGTATATCATGCTGTGCAGTAAGCACTTGATAAACTAATAGTTATAGTAGTAGTATACAAGCAGAAAGAAGGGTTGGGTTGATTCAGGGAGCAGAATCATTGCTTCTCTCTGCTTTCCCCAAGTGCAAACAGTGTGGCTGGAGGAAACTGCCTCCCTCTTCAGCTGGCTGCCACTTGTCTACTCCAACCTGTAGGCCTCAGATGAGGCCATCTGTAACTGGATGCTTCTCCCAGCAAAGAAGGACTAGAAAGCGAGGTCAGGGAACCACTGTAGTGGTCACCTCCTTGACAAAGCATGTGTTTCCATTTACTACAGACTTGTTCCTCTCCTGTCCTATCCATTTTGCAATCTGAAATTTCCTGAGGATGTGTGCCTGACCTCCACACCTGGGTCTCTAGAGTTGGTCTCCTGCTGTTGCCATCCACCCCACCCTCCCCTACTGACCTCCTGTGGGCCAGATCACATAGCGTATGTGCCCTGTGGCCTTCTTGTCTCTATACTCTCTCTGACCTGACACCACGATGTCTGTATTTGCCCCAGGCGGCCTACTGACTTGGTTTGTAGCCCTTTGCATCAGTTGAACACTCTTTAGTCTTGGCCTGTTGCCCAGAACATTGACCCCAATCTGCCTGGGCCTTGTGCGTCAGGGCCCCATGACACACTGCCAGAATGCAGTCCATTTACCCACCCAGGCTGGCCCTGCTCTCTCTGTGGTCTCATAGACACAGAAAACAATGTCTAGTAGAAACTTCTCCATCTGCCTTGTGTTGCGTGCTGCCCAAGCATGCACTTCTCTCCTTCTAACCTCAGACAGTGTTAGCCGCTCAGCTTTATTCAGCAACAGTGGGGAGAGCTGTTCTCCTTCCAGAGCCCTCCTCCCTTTTCTCTGACTCTAGGAAAGCAGAATGGTTATGCATTCTTTCCTTTGGGGTCAGCAAAAGTTCTCCATGAACATGCCTCTTTGTTCTGAATGACTTGCTTTTATTCATTTAAAAAACTCAAGTAGGGTTAATGCTGAATTAACCCTTTGGAATTATATATCAGTCGACAATCCTTAATATCAAACCTTTTGTTTTTCATGTGGTAGGTATTGTGGAAGTGAGCCACACTGCAGTGGACAGATTAGTGGTTAATCTCACGCTTGTATATGTGCTTGCTGTGCAGAGTGAATTATCCTACCTCACCAAGAGGTGCCAGGGATCTAGTTGAAGAGAACCAGAGTGCTGCAAAAGGGACTGTCTTCCCATACTGGGGTAGTATTACTTCAAGTCAAGTGTTTCTATCAGATGAATGGTTCTCAGTGTGAAGATCTGGGCACCTGACAGTTTCTAGGTGTCTTCAAGAAGCCTATGGCAAAGGAGCAACTCAATGAAGTGATTATGTTAAAGTCATCTTACTTCACTTATCAGCAGCATTTGGCAGAGTTCCTCCCGGGAGTACTATCTTCACTCAGTGCACAGCTCTGTCATAATTCTCCTTCTGTTTCAGATTCCTTCTTTTCTGTCTCATTGGAGTTTTCTCTTCATATCCCAGAAATATCAGGATACCCCTTAGCCTTGTGCTAGGGGACAGGCTCCGTGCATACCTTCATGTTCTCACGCCTGCTGTGAGACCATCTCAGGATGAGCCCTGGGTGAATGACCTGCAGAGACTCCATCATGACCATTAACTTCTGCTATGGGTTGACTTGTGCTGTCCCAAAATTCTAACCATTGACATCTCAAACTAAAGCTTTATTAGCTTGTTGTAAATGTAGCTAGTTAAAATGAAGTCATGCTTGAGTGGAGTAAGTTCCTCTCCAATATGACTTGTGTCTTCATAAAGAGGTGTTTGTACAGACACACTTACAAGGAGCACTGCATGAACATGAAGGTAAAGGTGAGGGTGATGCATGTAGAAACTAAAATACACCAGCAATGTTTGCAAATCACAGTTGGTAGGGAGAAGGTAGGAAACAGATTCTCTGTCTAGTGTCCCTTATCTTACACCTTCCTGCACCCTGGAAAGCCTTAATCAACAAGCTTTCTTCCATTTACTCTAAATTCCAACCTGCTATCTATTCCCTTTGGATCACTGACTGATATAGAACACTTTTCTTTTCTATTTATATTTATTTCCCTGGTCATCTCTAGCAGACAGATGACTGTCTCTAAATATTGCCTCTATTCTAGACTTCTTCACTGAATTCCAAACTCTCTTAGTTGTCTACTGGTTATTTCCTCTTAGTTGATTAATTGGCACTATAAATCTTTAAACATACAAAATTGTTTTTATGCTATCTTCAAACTTGCTCCTTTTATAGTCTTCCATCTCAGTAAATGCCACCCCTTTTTTCCAAAAACCCACTCAAAAAACCTCGATGTAACACAGGTTTTTGTTATTCTGAGGTTCTGTCTCTGATATTGAACATCCATTAGCAATACACACACACACACACACACACACACACACACATATGGAGAATGTGGAGAAATTGAAATATTTATGCATAGCTGATGGTAATGTAAAACAATCCATACACAGTGGAAAGTAGATAGTTCTCAAAGGTTAAATGTTGATCTATTGTGTAACTGAGCAATGTTACCCCTAGATATGTATCAACTAAATTGAAATCAAAGACTGAAACAGATATTTGTACACCAATGTTCACAGCATTGTTATTCACAATAGCCAAAACATGGAAAAAATTTAAGTGCTCATCAACATTAAAATGGGTAATTACATGTGGCATATAGACACAATAGAATACTATCAGCCATATAAAAGAATTGACTTTGTTTTTTCAGTACCAGGTATTGAACTTAGGACCTTGCACTTGCCAGGCAGGTGCGGTGCCATTGAGCTACATTCCCAGCCATAAAGGAATTAATTCTTGATGCATACTGTGAAATGGATGGGCCTTGAAAACATTTTGCTTAGTGAATTAAATCAGACACAGAAGAGCAAGTGTGATTCCACTTACATGAGGTACCTTGGACAGCCAAAATCACAGACAGAAAGTAGATTGTGCTTGCCAGAGACTAAAATAGAAACAGGAAGTTATTGTTGGAGGTGATGAAAAAGTTTGGGGTATGGGTAGTGGGGATGGCTACACAGGATTGTGCATATATTTAATGTTACTGAATTTTGTACTTATGAGTGGTTAAAATGATAAATATTGAGGTCTGTATATTCTATCATTCTATCTGTCTGTCTGTCTGTCTGTCTGTCTATCTATCTTTTCATGCATCCACTGATCTAGAATTTTCTACTTCTCACTACTTTCACCAATACCTTCTGTGTCCAGCCACTGTCCCCTTTCATATGGATCATCTCAAATCTTCCTCCATTGACTTCTCTGTTTACAACCTTGGCCCTGTTCAGTTTATTTTCCACATGGATTAAGCAAAGTGACCCTATTAACATCAAGATATTTTAGATTGTGTCATCCTTTAATTTGATATCCTGTAGGAGCTTCCTGTCTCCTTAAGAATAAAAACCAAAAGCCAGAGTAAAAACCCATAAGATTCTCATGATGGGATCTCAGTCACCTCCAGCTGTAGTCTCATGTTTTTTTCCACCTCTCACTTTCTTGGCCATGCTCCCGTCCTTACATCTGCTGGAACACAACCATTATGCTCCCACTTTAAGGCAGTTGAGCTTACTGGTTCCCCTCCTTGAAAGACTCCCTTTCACCTCATCACCAACAACTTCCTGACACCTCTATGAAATATTAAGCATCCCCAACCAGTACTTCTTAGACTGTTGTATTTTCTCCATAGAAATTATTGCTATCTGGCACATAGAGCATGTGGTTCTGCTTACTTGGTCATTGTCTGTGATTCTCTCCCCACCATGAGTTTGAAGGTAGACTTTGTCCACCAATATCCCTCAAGCATGTAGAATACTGCCTTATCCACAGTAAACTCTTGATAAGTATTATTTGTTGAATGAATAAATGAAGGTAATATAAATGCTTCTGTTCCTGGCCCAGATGAATAATTAATGTGAATATTAAAAATCCAGACATTTCCTCATTGTGGTCTGTCTCTGCTATTTAGCCCATTATTTCTCATCTCAAAAATAAAAACAAAATTACAACAAAAATCCTTTCTTTTCCTTGGGAAGGAAAAATCACATGAAAGAAAGAGGCGAGTTGCATCTCATTCTGCTTGATCTGTGCTGCTTAGATTTCCAGGTTCATGACTTGATGACTTGCCTTTCTCCATTTACGTTCTAGACTGTCAAGCCTGGACTATCAGGACTACACCTGATATTCATCCAATGCTCTTTGTTGTTCCTGACCCTTGCTCCATTATATAGTATATTAGGGTTTTCCTTAGAAGGAAAACCAAAAGAAGAATCAGGGGCTGATAAGCAACACACACACACACACACACACACACACACACACAGAGAGAGAGAGAGAGAGAAAGAGAGAAAAAAAAAGAGAGAGAGAGAGAGAGAGAGAGAGAGAGAGAGAGAGAGAGAGAGAGAGAGAGAGAGAGAGAGAGAGAGAGAGAGAGAGAGAGAGAGAGAGAGAGAGAGAGAG